GGGGGGGGTACCAATTCAATCCGAAAACAGTGTAGTCGCATGCTGCTGCGAAGCATTGGTGTCGACGGTAACCAGTTTCTTTCGGGATGGGTTTCCGAAATCCATGCAAGTGCTCTATTCACTTTAGCCACAGTATGAAGCGTAATGCGTGGGAACGTTATATACGGTGCTAATAAACTTTTCAGTATAAAGGAGGAGGTCTTGGTGGACATTTTGACCGTGTAGGATATAGCGTTTCATTTTTTTGGGTGGAAAAGACAGAATGATGAATTCTGTCACTCGTGCAAGTTTTGAAATGTGAATTGAGTAAGTAGTGATACATTTCGTAGCTAGCGTGTTAACTTGTAGATCTTATGAGTTGTCAGGTTTTATTTTTGAGGGTGGGAGGAGAAGAGCTCTCTTGAATGGAACATGTTGCCTTGGGCCAGAAGCCCTGACGAATTTTGCATAGTAACTACTTGCGAAGAAGAGATTCATTGATGGTAGGGATGTGGCCTCATAACTAGATATGGTACAATTGGGCAATATTTACAAAGAATGCAGAGAACATTGGCAATGTTGGTTGTTATGAATGTATTTCGTATTAGAAATGGATTTTAGTTTCCACAGATGCAATCTGAACTAAATAATAGTTCTTTACACTCCAGGATGTGAGAGTACCAAAGCAACGGCAGCTGGATTTTTCATCAATAGATCAATGCCTGTGGTGAGTCATTTTATTTTGTCTCTTTTTAATTTTAACTTTTGGTGAGTGGAGTCTACGCTGGTTTTAGGATTTTAGGGAGTTGCATTTTTAATGTGAGGAAAATCAAATGCAATAGGTACGCATACCGTACTCATTTAGGGGCAGGCCTTCTGGTATTTTCACTTTGTGGATTCTCGTGAATTTGTGTTTCGTCCTATTGTAATTAATATAGTTTGGCAAGTATTGATAAGTCAGGGTTGGTCCCAGGGAGCTGCTGCTCAACTGTCATGTGCATGGGATGCAATGTGACAAATAGATTGAATCAGTCTGAATAGATAAAAAGAAGTGACTAATTTACTCTCAATTTCGATTTAAATCAAGCAATTCAGCTTTTTTTTAATTTTTCCTTTTCACTCTTAGTGCCTTAGTACTTCATTCTTAGTACTGGTGAAAACTCCGTGAATTCCTTTAGGTGAGATTTGTGCCTGTTCAAGAATGGAGTATCACCACATAGTTTGATTAATAGGTACTATAAGAATGTATAAATTTCATTGAAGAAAAGAGAACATGAAAAGGAATGTGCTGTTACCCTTGGAAAAGACATTCAAAACAAATGGAACAAAATGTAATTGGAACCTCAAGGAACAGAAAAGAACTGGTCCATCTGATTACAAAATTAATATTATTTGGTGTCTCTATGGATTTAAATAATGATTTAATCCAGGCATAATCCCTTACCCAATCAATATCCCTTGCACCAAATTTGGAAACACAACTCAGTCTTGAAAGGAAATTGTTTATCCTGCCCTCAGACACTTGTCACTGAATCAAACTTCAGTAAAACTAGGGGACCAAAGGGACACTTCAGATCTTGAGTTGGGTTGGAGATCAAAAAGAAAATAATTTTGAGGGAGGGAAGATCCAGAGGTAGGGCAGAGTTCCCCATCAGCTAAGAACTGACTATTCACTTTCAATCCTTCCTCTGCTGTGGATTTCAGAAGAGGAGTTTTCTAACTGACCACCTTCCTCATTGTTCATTTAGTTTTCAGAAAAAGTTTTAGTTAGGTAAAAAAAAAAAATGAGGGACAAATTCATTCTTATTAATTTCTTCATCTCTGTTACAGTCTGTAATGGAAGAAATGGGTGAGAAATGGGATAATTCCATAAACTATTTGTTGCAGTAGAGATGAATCTTGATTCTACCAAATGTTGCCTAACATGGATGTCAAAACAGGACATTGCATGGAAAGTTAGCAGTTAACCTTTATATATGGCTATTAGCTCAATACTGACTCAAATCGAGCTGTGCTGGCAAAATACTTGTGCAGCAACTCCTTGTAAAGAACTTCACGAAATGAGAGAATGCCCCAACTTTCCATTTACAGATCATCTGTTGGGAGGATTCAGTGATCTTTGGAAGGTCTTACCCCTGAACTCAACTGCTTCAGAATGGATTCTTCAATCCAGTTAGCTAAA